GCCGCATAACCTCGTTTTATGAAGGATGCTCTACCATCCCCCCCCCCACACACATCCTTTAAAACCCCCCCCCGGGCAATATATCCCCCCAAAATACCCAAAAAACACCCCGCACCTCTGGGGCCCCCATCTTTACACGTATCACGCAATTCCAATCTCCCCTATTTTTGCAACATTTGGTAAAAACCCCTAAAAAATAACCACACGTCCCGAACAAATTTTGTTTTAATACTCACGCAACCTCCCACCGGGCCAAAAACATACAAACTAATGGGGAAAAACCCACCCCAAGTTCCATCCACTCTAATTACCCCCCCTCCCCCCCTTCACTACGCCTTACTAAAACGGCTATTTCCTGTACCAAAAAGGCAGCCCCACCTTTCAAACGTGTCGCATGTTCCATGACACATTATAACCATCAAAACCAAAATCATAACCAGGGCCCAAAATTATGTTTCCCTTAAAAAAAACCCCATCCACACCCGTCGCACCAAATACTCATTAAACCACTTTCTTCCTCTCCTCTCAACCTTTAATATTTATATAAACACTTTAATTCAACAAATGGTTTTCCTTTTTCCCCGGCATTGACTTTACCCCCTTCATTTGCAACACCCTGTCCCCCCCCCTTTGTTGGGGAAACACCTTTGCAATCCCACCTTGGGGTTTACCATTCCCTCTCTTCTGTACCTCCACCCAAAACTTTTTTCCGGGCATTGGGCAGGGGTTAGCAATCATCAGAACCGATATCTGCATCCTCTTTCGGGCCCGCCCCCACCTGCATTTTACATCTGAAACACCGTCCTGAAGCACCCCCCTCTACTGCATGCACCTTCAGTCCTTTTGACTCTCTCGTCGACAAACCCTCATCTTCTGCCCTACCCCATTCACAAACCTTCCCCAAACTAAGCGGGGCTTCCACCTTTCAACCGATTCCCAACAAAATCCCCTCCACACCTTTACCAAAAACCCCCCACTTCTCACCCATATTAGGTAGTCTCTCCTCAAAAACCCTTTTTATGTCAATGACTGAGATTCTCCTTTAAGCGTTACAATTGGGGATTCGGGGGCCCTTTCGCCACCCCCCTCACTCCAGACAACCGTTTTGGGGGGGGTGTAGCAAAGACGTTCTCCCATCCCAACCTCGCCACGGCTGCTTTTTCTGCTGTTCCGGGTTTCCCCTTTCTGTTTGTGCCGGGGACCCCTTCGTTTTCCCCCCACTGCCCGCGAGTGGGCAAAACCCACATAGCCCACCGACTTTTTGCCCCCATACTTTAACATAGACTTGATCCTTTAATTTTTTCAACCAATATATGAAGGAATAGGGTGTCAAATCATTTTTAAAATGTATACGCCCCTTCCACGCACCTGCAAACGGGCCAGTTCCCATCTCCCTGCTGGCTACTGAACCTCCCATAAGACCAGTTCACTGGGGAATATCAAAATCAGTCCCTCAAAAGGGACTTCCCGATTTTCCCCCCAGGGGTTAATGTCGAGTACATCATAAGCTCACCGACACAGCGTTTAACCCGGGATGAGGCCCTATACTTTCACCACTCCTCGTGACTTGTGCAGACGTCATCTTAACGAAGATTTTTTGTCATTCCATTTTAATGCACCCACTATCCCTCATTTGCTAACCCGTTACGCGAATGACGTGGGAATAATAAATCCTGTTGATCCTGTGACAGCACACGGAAATCTCAATGCAGACAGTGTTGTTTTTCTTTTGCTATTCAGCGCCATGTTGGGGAAAATAAAGTTTTTACCAACAAAAGCAGGGGCAGCTCAATCAGGTAAAATGCGCAAAACAAACCAAAAGAGCGCTGCGCACTCGTCCCCACCGCCGGGGGCGATGAGGACAATGATTAGAATTTTTAAAAATTCTTGGATTTCAAGCCAATCTTTTCCTGACACAATTTATTAATGAAATAGACCCTAGTCAAATCACTTGACAGGTGAACATTTTTACCTCCTTGGCCATTGACTATTGTCTAAAAAATAACAAAGTATTAGAGCCCAGCAAAGTTTTAGACACACTGGAGTAGAAACTCCTTGAAAATGGGGTTTTGACAGGGCAAAGACAGTGACATTTGTGAAGTGCCCTCTGGGGGGAATTTGCCTTTAATTTTTTACTCTTGCACACAAACATGTCTCTGTATGTCTGTCACATCTTCTATCCATTTTCCTTCGTCTATCTGTACATCTACTGCTGTCTATCTTCTCGCCCATCCTGCTTTCTTTTGCTAGTTCACTTACTTTTTCTGTGTGTGGGCTTGTTTTTTTACATCTTTATCTACAAAAACTGTATAGCACTTGGGGTGGAATTTTTTTTTGGGGTTTCCTAAGAATTTACATTTTTATAATAACTGTACTTTTGATACAGGAGAGACAAGAAACGAGATATAGACAATACGAGACACCAAAGCCACCACCAGCGAATACATTAAACATGAAAAGAAGGAACACTCACAGGTCTACTGGCCCATGCAAGGCAGGTCCATGGTACCCCCCTCAATGACCCACCAAGTCAGGTCACATCCACTGAAGGAAGAGCACGGTATCAGACTTAGTAGCACAAGCTAGTCAGGTCTAGCTCACACCCACACCACACCCACTCATGTATTTATCTAACCTATTTTTACTTTCCTCTTAAAATGTACTATGACATGGCATCAGTGAATCCCTGTGTTTGCCATGCATTTGCTCTAAGAACATAAGAACATAAGAACGAAGGAACACTGCAGAAGGCCTACTGGCCCATGCGAAGCAGGTCAAGTCTCCTACCGGCTTAAGCCAGTGCACCCAACCTAGTCAGGTCAGGTCACATTGACTTAAGGGAGGAACACGGCAACCGACCTGGTAGCACAAAGCTATCAGGTCTAACTCACACCCACCCACATCCACTCATGTATTTATCCAACCTATTTTAAAGCTACACACGTTCTGGCCTCTATAACGGTACTTGGGAGTTTGTTCCACTCATCCACAACCTATTACCAAACCAGTACTTTCCTATATCCTTCCTGAATCTGAATTTTCCAACTTAGAACCATTGCTGCGAGTTAAAATGGCGCTCAAATGAACTGGTGTCCCACAAGGTACTAAGTGCTCCCAGATTTTTTTAATGTGTACACACTGAGTGAACAACCCATTCTCTCATGTCTAGGCGACTCAAGCCGATTGTGCCAAATTTGAAGGAATGAAAAATAAAACATTGATCTACGTTCAGAGCCCCCACATGTGAACACAAATCTACGTGTGGACAGTTTAAGGGTTAAATTATGCTCTCATGAAGTTAGCAATATCAGCGATATTTATGAATTGGCTATTTCGCCCACTTTGAGCCCTATTTCTGGCCAATTCCATTGCTCCAGTTGACTAAAATCATAGCTACTTCGCTAAACTCCATTTGTTCTATCGATTGAATACAAGAAACTGCCCATTTACTGATTTCAACCACCCAATAAAGTGGTCAGAAATTGGCAATTTGACCAATTTCACACAAATTTCAAAAGATGCCAGTTTCAAAATAGGGTCCAGAATAAACAAGACAGACATTCCTGGCAATAAAATAACATTTTTCTCTGTTCATTAGTCACGTCTCCAGGTCCCTCTTACATTCCATTTTGAATTTGGTATAAGTATTATGCAGAAAATGTGTAGCTTTGAGATTAGAAGGAGGTGCAGAGTTACTAAAAGTATCATCCAGAGAGCTGAGGAGGAGTTAAGGTGCTGTGGATGTTTAGAGAGGATGGAAGAAAATAGGATGACTTGGAGGGCATGTAAATCTGTAGTGGAGGGAAAGCAAGGTAGGACCCATCCAAGGAAAGGTTGGAAGGAGTGGGTAAAGGAGGTTTTATGTGCAAGGGTTTGGACACCAAGCAGGCATGTGTGGAAATGTTATAAAGGCAAATGGTTTTTGGGATGTGACATGCTATTGGAGCATGAGCAAGACAGCATTTGTGAAGACATTCAGGGAAGTAGATGAATGGTTCAGAGAACCGACATTTGATAAATTAGACACATGTGCAAATCTTGGTATCTTTTTTGAGGAAACGATTACCTCATTCTCCTCCTGTTCTTCAAGTTTCTCCTAGTAGGACTGATGGAAGCCACTGTGTGGCGAAACGTTTCCTCAAAAAAGATACCCAAGAGTTGCACATGTGTCTAATTTATCAACATGTCGGTTCTCTGAACCATTCATCTACAAACCGTCAGACACTGCAACTTCTTGGGATCTTAATACTTAGGAATTCTTCGCTTGCCTAATTCTTGGGCACAACCTACTTCCACATTGAACAAATGTGACACTACCTATGACTGCTACACCTCTCCTGCCATAACGGTTTAATAAGCTGCTTCTTCGCTCATACTGCCGTATTCTACTCAAGATTGATGGACTGAACACATCGACTCATGTTGAGGACTGATTACCTCATTCTCCTCCTGTTCTTCAAGTTTCTTCTATGTATGGACTGATGAAGCCACTGTGTGGCGAAACGTTTCCTCAAAAAGATACCCAAGAGTTGCACATGTGTCAATTTATCAACATTTCAGGGAAACTGGTTAATTTGACTTGAGTCCTGGAGGTGAAAGTTCAGTGCTGCACTCTGAAGGAGGGGTTGTTGGGAGGAAAGTGCAGTGTTTGCACTCTGAAAGAGGGATTGGAGGGAGAATAATACAGTGTGTTCACTCTTAGAGAGGGGTGGCGGTGGTGGGAAGTACAGTGCCTGCACTCTGAAGGATGAGTAGGAATATTTACAGTTTGGATGGACATCCGAAGTGTAATGTCAGCCCTCCTCTTGCAAGACAGTGATGGAGTGGTGGAGAAAGTGTTCTTGTTTATTGAATCGCCTTACCTCAGTGGCAGATGGCTGGTATGTTTAAAATAATAATTCTAATAATTATAATTAATTATAATAATGATTACAAGAGAAGATTATAAATTTTCAATTTTATTTTGCAGGACATCTTGTTACTCGAGGCTGGCACTTGTAGTGTCAACACTGCAGGTCATCCTAGTACATGAAGGTGGTACTTGTGGTGCCAATACTGCAGGTCGTCCTGGTACAAGAATGTGGCACTTGTATGTCAATACTGCTGGTCATCCTGGTACAAGAAAGTGGCACTTGTGTGTCAGTACTGCAGGTCAACCTGGTAGAAGAAGGTGGCACTTGTAGTGTCAATACTGCAGGCCATCCTGGTACAAGGTGATGGCACTTGTAGTACCAACATCTGTATCAAAAGAACTCCTGTAAGCTCTATAAATATTACTGTGTTTATACAGTGACAACACTGATTATGATGTTTATACAGTGACAACACTAACTACAGTGTAATTCAGTCAAACACTAACTACGATGTTAATAGTGACAAGTGACAACACTGTGAAGACAGTTTTGGTAATACATCACTTACAGTGTCAACAACATTGTCATAAGGTTAATGTGTCATAAATATCTGGTAGTGTCATCCTTCCTACTCCTCAGATACTCTATTACCCTTATATGTTTAGTGCTTGCTATATTTATAATAAAATAATACAGAAATATTAGTTTTCTGTGTAATAAAATATTCTCAAATTTTCTCTGGCTAAACAGTTTAAATATGTGAGAACTTATTGTTCAATATGTCTAAAATACCTGAAAAACAATGTGTTGAAGCAACACAATGTACAGTTGTTCATGGAGACAAATTAGATCAACATTCGCACTCAGTCAAAAAATCTTCACAACAACCTCAGTCTGGATATCTGACCAAATTTATTATAGACAAAAAGACACTTCAATGTTCAGTGTGTCTAAAAGAGTTTTCTGAAAAATGTTATTTAGTAAGACACATGAGAACTCATACTGGAGAGAAGCCATATCACTGTTCAGAATGTCTGAAAGACTTTAATATAAAATCAAATTTAATAAGTCACATGAGAACTCATACTAGAGAGAAGCCATATCAATGTTCAGAATGTCTAAAAGACTTCTCCAGGAAAAATAATTTAGAAAGACACACAATAACTCATACTGGAGAGAAGCCATATCAGTGTTCAGAATGTCTTCAAGACTTTTCTAGAAAATCATATTTAATAAGTCACATGAGAACTCATACTGGAGAGAAGCCATATCAGTGTTCAGAATGTCTTCAAGACTTTTCTAGAAAATCATATTTAATAAGTCACATGAGAACTCATACTGGAGAGAAGCCATATCAGTGTTCAGAATGTCTTAAAGACTTTTCTAGAAAATCATATTTAGTAAGTCACATGAGAACTCATACTGGAGAGAAGCCATATCGGTGTTCAGAATGTCTGAAAGACTTTTCCAGCAAACAAGATTTAGAAAGACACATAAGAACTCATACTGGAGATAAGCCATATCAGTGTTCAAAGTGTCTGAAAGACTTTTCCAGAAAATCAAGATTAGTAAGACATGTGAGAATTCATACAGGAAGGAAGCCATATCAGTGCTCAGAGTGTCTGAGAGACTTTTCTCGAAATTCACATTTAGTAAGGCACATGAAAATTCACACTGGAGAGAAGCCATATCAGTGTTCACAATGTCTGAAAGACTTTTCTAAGAAAATCACATTTAGTAAAACACATGAGAACTCATACTGGGGAGAGGCTGTATTAGTGTTCATAATGCCTGTGAGACTTTCTAAAAGATTACATTTAGAGAGTCACATGAAAAGTCATACTAGAAAGAAAGCTTTGCCAGAAGTGGTGTCAAGTGTCATAAACTAATATTTCTTCCTCATCCAACACGATATTAAAGTATTTTTGGTCTGTTTTTAAAGACAGAAGATATTGGGAGCTTATTACATAGTAAACACAGAACCTTAATAATAAACATTTTTTTTTTTGGAGAAATTGTAGGCCATGGTATCATCAAAGCACTTTTATACCATTTTGGGAAATAAAGTGTTTACACTTCACTGTCAGTGACATAAGGTACACTTGCAAGCCAGTGTCATGATGTATTAATATACCAAAATCCTAGCACTTAAAATCTAGTGGAGAAAGCTGGTGGGCCTGCATTTTGAGAGAGTGGGTCTGTTTAGTCAGTGCAAAATTAAAAAAAAAATGATTGGGCCGCCCACATTGCATTGTGGAACACCATTCGGTAGTCCTGTTTATCATGTTTCGCAATAAGAATATCTCACTCCCGGGTAAAATTGGACTCCTTCCCAAGTGATAGTTCTAACACAGATAGAAGTGTCAGTGAAGATGAATTTTATGGTTTTAGAGTTTGTGACTGAAAACAATGCCCAGGATACCAATACAGATATTGAAAAGGAAAGACAGAGTGGGTGGGGGGGGAAGACAGCATGAGTGGTGGAAGGCAGCATGGATGGGGGGGAAAGCAGAGTGGATGGTGGGGAAGATAGCATGGTCAGTTGAGAAGACAGCATGTAAGTTTATTCAGGTACAGTGGACCCTCAGTTAAGGACATCATTGAATAACGTAAAAATTGAATAATGACACGTTTTTGCATCAAAATATTGGCTCAGTTAATGACAAAAAACCCCAGTTAAAGACAATGGCCCCGAACATGTCCGCACAAAGTGAGCGCCTGGACACTCCATGTACAGCCAGTGTGCCATTGTTTACAAGCCAGTGAGGATGATTCCACATATACATGCAATACATTTTGTATTATTCCATTGTTTTTAGTGCTAGTAACTGCTAAATAAACCACTTTGGGCCCAAAGAAAGCTTCTAATGCCAGCCCTTTAGTAAAGAGGGTGAGAAACACTATAGAAGTCAAGAAAAATTTGTAGAAAGATACGAAAGTGGTGGTGGTAGTGATGGTGGTGGAGGGTGGCAGTATGGGCCAACAGGTTTGCTGCATTGTTCCTGTTTTTTTATGTACACCAGCCAGGATACTTTACCACATACCAGCCAGGGTACTTCTCCACATACCAGCCAGGGTACTTCCCCACACACCAGCCAGGGTACTTCTCCACATACCAGCCAGGGTACTTCCCCACACACCAGCCAGGGTACTTCCCCACATACCAGCCAGGGTGCTTCCCCAGTTACCAGCTAGGGTACTTCCCCACATACCAGACAGGGTACTTCCTTACACACATGATTTGATTTGATTTGGACTTGCGTATGAGTGAATAATTATCAAAGCTTATTGCTTGGGAAGCATTGAAAATTGGGTTTGGCAAATATGATTCTGTTAGTGGGATGGCTTGTGAAATACCTGCCTAGTATGGGCCAACAGGCTTGCTGCAGTGTTTCTGCTTTCTTATGTGCAAACATTTATGGATGAACATCACCCTGACACAGCTGTTGCAGGCCGTGCTGGCAACATCTACAATGATAATGTTGTGTTGTTGTGTCCCATTTTACAGAAATCTTAAAGAGACACCAGAAACAGAGCTCTCTGGACAGATTTTTGGTCCAACAGGGGTCCAGTGACTCTCAAGCTGGTCCTAGTGGCATTAAAAAAAGAAGGGAGGTAACCCCAGAAAAGTACATTGTTACCTGAAGTCTTTAATGGAAAGGATTCCCCTTCCAAAATTGTAGTCTCCTCCATTTCTCCTCCCCTCCCATCTCGTCACTCATTAATGCATCCTCAATAAAGGTGCCGGGAGTTTTACGGGAGAGAGTTCCCGGGGGGTCAACGCCCCTGTGGCCCGGTCTGTGACCAGCCTCCTGGGATCAGAGCCTGATCAACCAGGCTGTTACTGCTGGCTGCACGCAATCCAATGTACGAGCCACAGCCCAGCTGGTCAGGTACCGACTTTAGGTGCTTGTCCAGTGCCAGCTTTAAGACTGCCAGGGGTCTATTGGTGATCCCCCCTTATGTATGCTGGGAGGCAGTTGAACAGTCTTGGGCCCCTGACACTTATTGTATTGCCTCTTAACGTGCTAGTGATACCCCTGCTTTTCATTGGGGGGGATGTTGCATTGTCTGCCAAGTCTTTTGCTTTCGTTGCGAGTGATTTTCGTGTGCAAGTTCGGTACTAGTCCCTCTAGGATTTTCCAGGTGTATATAATTGTTACGTTGGTATGTCTCATTACTTTGATAGTAAGGTTCTCACTACATGTTCTAGTGTGGGGTAGCTTTTACTTAATGGCCTTATCTGTCTAGGGGTAATACATCATGGCTGATCATCTTGAGTGTCTCTGATATCTTTTCACCAGCCCAATTCACAGGTTATGTAAACTACTACTATAAAATATAACTGTATTCTAAATAGATATGTACGGAAGATACAATCACAGCCTCACATATTCAAAACAAAAATCTACACATTCCTTAGCTGTTCTCCCACATGGTGCATCTCAGCAACTTTGTCCTTCTCTCTTCTTGACTAACTCTGGGCTAACCAGTGTTTTGACACACTTTATTCACCTTGGGTATGGTGGGCACAACTTAAGTTATAAAAACTCACCCCTGGAGCACACATAATGCCCCAAAAAGATAGAAAAAAGAACCCAGAGGTCCTGCCACCTCCATGTCAACAAAAGAAGAGAGAGAGGGAGGGGGAGGAACCTAGCTAAGCTCCTCCCACACCCACCAAAACAAAAGACTATTGCCAAGCACAATTCTCCAGTTACCACAATTCTACCACACCTTAAATTTTACTTTTACAAAAAGAAATACAACTTCATAAACTACTTATTTAAATTGTGTGTTTGTGTGTCTATAGCATAACCTATTATACTGAGAAAAAAGGCTTGACCCAGCTGCCTCTCAGTCCTAAGGGTGATCAGCCCTTATGACATTTAGAACTGAGTCCCCATCAATTCAATATAATTAGTATCCAGAGTAACTGTTACTTATAAATACATGTTGGGTCCTATAGCCCCATAAAAACCCCCCCACCTCCAGACGAAGTCTCACAAAAGCTAGTCGTGTCCCTCAGGATACGGCTAGTAAAAAGGTATATTGCTTAAGTCTGAAGGCGGTAAGCAAGACACTAAAATGCTACATATTTCCCAGCACCATAACTACCCTTTCACTTTACTGTTATTTACAACAGATTGCAGAATTTTTTAGAAAAGCATTTTAACCATACCCAAAAACTCAAGGGGTAACTATTTACAATTTAGTGGCTTTTAAACAATACACATTACAATGCAAAAATTGCACACAATGCCCACTGTGAAAGCCCGCACCAACAGGCCTGTGCCTCTGCTATGGTATCCACAAGTAACTTGTACTCCAGGGTGGCATCTTCCTGATCAGGAGATGAGAGTAGAGCCAAACCCTGAGCAGTCAGGTGTACACCAGGCAGGAAACTTCGCAAAACATGTAAAGGGGTGCCCTCTCATTTGGGTTGGCCAAACCAAACAGTGAGACTTCCAGTCAACACTCACAATCCTTAACATGGTCAGGCACTCAAGCCCCATCTTCCGAGGTCCCACTCCACACAGATCCTCCAAATTTTATGAAGAGGCTGACATAGAACATGGAGGGGCCCAAAGGGGACCACAAAGGCAAACGTTTGGTCGTTTTGTATATAGAGCACACCAAGACAAAACATCATAACCTTCAAAGAACGTCCATGTTACCGAAGGTTTGTCAACCACGCCTCAACTCACATTTACATATACACTGACCCTTGTCACACATTTGGCTCTGACTTGACTCCTTCACAGTCAGATGGCTGGTAAGAGTACTCAGGCTTGCCGAGAGTTCACCACTGCAAAAACAACAAGGTCAACACATGACAAAACTATGTACAAAGTACACACCATGCATCTACATGAAACATCTAGAGAGAGCATCACAACCACATTCTCGAGCCTTTTAAAATATTTAACTCCAAATTAAAAGGCTGTAGGAACAAAGCCCATCTTAAGAGTCTTTGATTGTGGTTTCTCATTTCTTTTCAAAAACCTCAGAGGGTTAGGTCACTATACACTATTACAGATGTGGGGAAGCACTGATATAAACTTCAAATTTCGCACAGCAACACCAAAGCCAAAGCCTCTTTCTCTACAGTTGCATAACCACGTTGATGCTTTTTTAAAATTTTGGGTGAATGGTAACAAACTGGCAGAAGGCTTTTCTCTCTCATCACCCTGCAACAACACTGTAATTAAACCCCTACATCACTAGCATTCCACTTGTAGAGAGAAGGGGCATTCAAACTCAGGACTTTTCAAAATAGGAGCATTCCCTAATAACATTTCACATTTCCCAAAAGCCGTCACACTTGCTGTCCCAGCTGAATTGAACTTTGGGACTGGTCAAAGTTGTCAGTGGTGACATTACTTGGGAGAGGTTGGGCAAAACCATCTGTAATAACCCACCATGCCCAGGAACCTCATCACTGCCTTCCGATTTTGTGGTCTAGGAAAAAATTTATAATGGCCTCCACCTTAGTATTAATTGGGGCAACTTTCCCCTGACCAACTACATACCAAAAATTGTACACTGCTTGGCCAAACTCACTTTTGCTCAGATTGATGGTTAGTTTGGCTTGGGCTAGACGTTCAAACAACTTTTGTAATCTTACCAAGTGAAGTTTCCCACTGGTTACTGAATACCACAATGTCATCTAGAAAGGCCCGACACCATCCAACCCCCTTATGACAGTATTTATAGATGCTAGAAGGTGGGAGGAGCATTTTTTTAACCCAAAAAGGGAAAAACATATATTGAAATAAGCCATCTGGATGACGAAGGGTGAAATTTCCTTGGGTCGCTGGGTAGGGGTATCTGATAATAACCTTTAAGTAAGTCCAGTTTGCTCACAAAAAATTTTCCCCTCCCACAGCAGCAAACACA